ACGTGCCCATCGCATCGCTTGCGCACGCATGCTACCGATCTGATTGCAGGCCGAAGCGCAGGCGCTTGGGGAGAAATCCAAACAAGAACAGGCACAAGAGGTGAGCGTGCGCGTGGACGTGTGCTTGCTTGCTGCTGTTCATGCTTTGCATGGCGCACACTCACACACGCGGTGCGCTCGCTCACCCGACACATGCGCCTTTGCACGGCTGTGATGAGCAGATGCACAAGCAACTCGGGATCTTCAAGGAAAACCTAGAGGAGTTTGCCAGGTGAGTGTGCACATTCGGTCTGCACAGCATGGCTTGCGTTGCCTCCTTTGCGTCTTGCTTGCAGTGCCTTGCTTGCACCACCCTGTTTACAACATTTCACACTGCTGACTTGTTCCTCCCTTTTTGCCACTTGCATTGACAGGAAGTACAAGAAGGAAATCAAGCGAAGCCCGGACTTTCGTGGCGACTTTCAGCGCATGTGTCATCAAATTGGCGTCGATCCCCTCGCATGTACGTGTGATGTGTTGTGTTGTGTGTGTGTGTGTGTGATTTGCATGCTGCCTTCTACTCCCTGCTCACTCATGCACACACTCACTCACTCACGCACACCCACTCACGCACACTCTCTGTGTCTTGTGCGTGTGTGTGAATTTGCAGCGAACAAGGGCTTCTGGAGCCAGCTGCTGGGCGTCGGTGACTTTTACTATGAGGTGCAGCCATCACCGCTACTTTGTTTGCACATCCACGAAACCGCCGACCGCCATCATCGCACACGCACTTGTCATCATGACTTTCGTCGTCACCGTTGTCACCACCACCATCGCATCCCCTCATTATTGTACGCTGCTCTGCATTGCGCGTTTGGTTGCATGTCGCCAACAGCTCGGCGTGCAGGTGGTGGAGGCGTGCATGGCCACGCGCGGTCTCAACGGCGGCGTCATCGACATTGCCGGTGTGTGTGTGTGTGTGTGTGTGTGTGTGTGCATGTGTGTGTGCATGTGCATGTGTGTGTGTGCATGTGTGTGTGCATGTGTGTGTGTGTACATGTGTGTGTGTGCATGTGTGTGTGCATCTCTCTCTCTCTCTGTTGAAGGTAGATTCAGTTGCTTTTCCTCCTTCCCTGTTTATCCCTCATGCCGCATGTTCCGACATTACCACGTCGCCATATCCCCGTTTGTGTTCTACAGAGCTGTTGAATGCGGTGAACACAAGAAGGGGCTCACACGTGCAGCGCGTGGCGACGTAAGTTGAACAGTTCACGCTGGCAGGCGCTGTTTTGAATTGGTGGTCTCTGTATACAGGCAACCCACTTACATCAATTGTGTCCTCTGCTAGGGCCTTCTCTCTGTGTCTCTCTGTCTGTGTCTACCTTATACACACACAACCACAACCACACACACACACACGCACGCACACACGCACACGCACACACGCACACATATCACACAGTGGGGATGTTGAGGAGGCGGTTGCACGGCTGCAGGTGCTTGGAAGCGGATTCCGGGTGGTCAAGGTCGACAACAGGCGCGTGGTGGTGTCGCAGCCAAAGGAACTCAACGCAGACCACATGGCAATCTTCAACCGCGCAAAGGTTGGCTGTGCTGTTGTTGTCGTGCAGTCGTGGCGGTGATGTGCTGTCGTGATTGGCGGTGATGCAATGAGGGAGAGAGAAATCGATGCGTGGGTATGATGGCGTGCGGATATGTTCTGACGCAAGCACGCAGACTCATGCACGCACACGCGCACACATATGAATGCATATTGATAGGACTGTGGATATGTGACGGCGGAGGCGCTGTGTGCGGATCTTAAATGGACAAACGACCGGGCACAGACCGCGCTGGTGAGGCACTACACGCGTACACATACATTCACATGCATGTTTATACGCTTTCAGGTGTTGTGACCGTCACCGAGACACGGCCGACTTACACTGAACACACACACACACACACACACACACACACACACACACACACACACACACACACACACACACACACACACACACACACACACACACACACACACACACACACACACACACACACACACACACACACAGGGGGAGCTGGTACAGCGGGGAGTGGCGTGGGTGGACGAGCAGGCGGCGCCGCACGAGTACTGGGTACCGGGACTCATGGCCGGGTCATCGCAGATGTAGACCCTTGAGGGTGGTGATGGTGGTGTGTGTGTGTGTGTGTGTGGAGATGAGGGGGGGGGGCGGAGGTAGTCGATGCCATGTTTGATTGTTGTGATTGGGGTTATTGGCTTGATGCTGATGCTATGTTACGCACTGAACTTTGGTCGCTCGCTGGCTTGCGCGTACATGTTTGGATGGACCTCTGTGCTTTGGGTTTGCCTTGGGTTACCGACCATAAAGTTATTCTCGCCTGGCAGAGACGAGGAGGGGGAGAGAGAGTGGAAAAGAGAGAGAGAGAGAGAGAGAGAGAGAGAGAGAGTGTGTGTGTGTGTGTGTGTGTGTGTGTGTGTGTGTGTGTGTGTGTG